ATTTTTATTGCATAGGAACCCTTGGTGGCAATGTTCACTGCTGCTCCCAGGGCCAGAAATACACTCCTTGTATAGAAAGAGCATTCAATGCTTGATGCAAAAGATTAAAACATTTGAACAGTTTAGACTGAGCACTATTGTTACATATTTTCAAAATATTCTATGTTGCTGTGTATCAGTGGACCTGATCAAGAAGAAGAGGAAAGTAGCAGTGATGCCAATAGCAAAAGGGGAAAAAGGTCACTTCATATCCAATAAATGGAGAACTGAGGTGAGTGCTTTTCACTCACCTCATAGTTCTAGCCGACCTGTGACAATGAGACTGTCACAGGTCGGCTCAGTATATCGGGGGGTGAGCCAACACATGCCGTGACAGGGGAGGGGCTGGATTCCCCCTTCCCCGCTCCGATCTTCCAGCGCTGACTGGCCGAACGGACGGGGGAGAGGGCGGGTACAGCTGGCTCTGCCTCTAGATAGGCAGAGCCAGCTGTCAGTCACGCAGCTGGGCGGATCCAGACATAATTGTCGGGATCCACTTCAGCTGCGGCGTCTCAGTATACCGCGAGCGACGGGCGGACACTAGTTTGTGTCCTCCCGTTACCCTAAGGAGAACTATGGGGAAAAACACTGACCACATAGTTCTCCTTTAAGCAATTAAAGGGTCGAGAGGGGCACTATTGTTGGGTTGGGGCATCAGCTGCACTTAATCCAGCCAAGCCCTATCCAAAATATCAAAAAAATAAGGTTTGCTTTAAATCGAATTTAGTATGACTGCCAGGCAACTGGTATTTTCAGAAGGGGGACACCTAACCATTCTATTGAATATTTTTATATTTTTTACTCACTCACATCAGGGCTTGCCCACAAAGAAGCTTAATATCCATGTTCCCAGTTTAAGCTGTCCTTAGAGTGCTTGAATTTTGGCCGAGTTTGGCTGACCTGCTCTGCCGGAACCCCTCCGTCCGAAAATTGTCACCAATTTGCTTACATCAACACGAGGAAAACTCTATTTGTATAGTGCCTCTGGTAGGACTGGAAACTGCTTAGAAGCCCAGCAATGTCATTTTTGTTTTGTTTTGGATACAGTAGGGCATATTTAATACCCCTTTTGTTACATTTTATTTTTTTTGCCATCTATATCCAATGAGGGAGAATTATCTTCGCTTCCTGTTCCATAGGCACAATAGGAAAGGAAATCTTGCCAAAGTACGGGAAATCCCCTCTTATAAAGCTGTTATTGAAGAAGCGTCCCCATTGGAAGAGCTCTGTTCTTGTACTGATAACAACTCTTTGGGTTTTCCCTCAGTCGGTTTTCAGACTGAAGAAAATCTGTTGCGGATCAAGTCACCCATTGTTGAGAGGGAGTTATCTCAAGCAGTTCTGATCTCCCCATGTGTGGATAGCTTTAGCCACTAAGCTGCCATTCTATTACTATTGAAGACATCATTCAACACTCTAGTACCAGGGCTGCACAAACTGCTCAAACCTTCATTTTATAGTGTCTGAGGGGTGGAACTCCACATAGTGTAAGTCACTTAATGCGGATACAAGGTTATGAGCATGCCTTGTCTATAAAACAGTCAGAGCCCCTATGTTTTAAATGAATGCACTCTTGCTGTACAAACACAATTTTAATGCAAAAGCTTCTGCTGCTAAAGTCAACAAGGGGTCGACGTATCCCGTTGTAAAGCTGCTGTTTACACCGAACTCCCGCAGTGTTCCAGGGGGCATTAAACTGAGGTTAGGCAGGATTTACACAATTTATATCCAATAAAATCCCCCATTAATAAAGAAACAAAAGCCCATTAGCAGCTTACTGCAATGAAAGACCTAAGGGCTAAGGATTTTTGTTCTGGAAAACGTCTGCACAGTCTTACCTTGCCCCGAATGGGTTCATTGGGTGTTAATCTTGAATCGTATTGATGTAAGAAAGATACCTCTTCCTGGAAAAGTTTTGGCAACCCATTTCTATCTCTGGGAGATGCAAGTGGAACTATAAGAAAGAGATAAACAGTATTTATTATTAAAAACCGCTAGCTCAAAAAAAACTAGTGGTGTCACAAGGGGGGTGCAGCCTGCACCCGGGTGATACCATTGCAGGGGTGACACCAAAATGACTGACAGTCATTTTGGTGTCACCCCCTCTAAAAAGTCGGCACTCGGTCATGGACTGAGAGCCCAACAGTGTCAGGAGAGAGGAGGGGACCCGGCGGCATACCTCATCCAGCCGGATGAACAGCAGGCGTCAATTAGATGGTCGCGCATGGGCGATAAAGTCCTCGTGCACGCGCGAGGTGACATCACGCGCATGCGCGATGACGACACGGCGGGGTGTCACCCAGTCTGGAGACCGGGTGACACCCGGCCCCGGGACGCCCCTGAAAAAAAAACAAAGCAAAAAAAACTATGATTATGTAAAAGGTTTAGTAATACCAACCAATTAGATTTAAGTTTACTTGTCAGCTTAGTTAAAGATTCATTCTGATTGGTTGTTTTAAAGGCTTTGAATGCTGTCATGCCATTTGGGCCTGCTGTATGATAGAGAGGCATGCCCTAAAATAAACCTGTACTGACAGAGATATGGTGGCTGCTATTTGCCACATCCTTCTGAACATGCTTGTTGCCTTGCTGTGGTTTTTATAAATTCCTATGCCAATAACCCAGAACAAGCATGCAGCAAGTGAATCGGACTAAAGTGAGACCTCCATACCTATTCCATGCTAGTGATTTTGACATTAATAAAGCCTTTGGATCTGTAAAATATCCAGTCATCTATCATTTTCAAAAACAGAAGAAGACCTGTACTGAGGAGGAGGCTGCCATAACTAACCTCTCCTTCTGCAAATACTAATTGCTAGTCTGGTATTGGTAATACTTCATTATTTTGAACTGATGGCCTGCAAAAAGCATGCTCAGGCGTTCTGACTTCCCTACGACATGGGTTGCCGCTTGCTTGTTCCAGGTCATTGACTTGGAAGGTACTGAAACCAGAGACAGCCAAGCAACTAGCAGTTTCAGAATAAGCTGACCAGGGCGACCTCCATATTTCTCTCAGATACACATGGGAAGCATACCTGCAGCTTTGCTCCAGCACAGATTCCATCTGTGGCACAGTAGCAAAACCATCAGTAAAACTACTACTCAAGTAATCCTTGTTTATTTGTAATGCTGGACTATGTGGTGCACTTTGTTACTTTCCTTTTCCTAAATTAGTGTCTCAGAAGCCATACTGATTCCCATTTGTAAGGGTGGCCATATGAGGCCTAAGTCTGTGTAAGGACACTTGTGCCAAGGGGTGAGTCCATTACTCAGCTCCGCCAGTGCAGAGGCAGGAAGCGGCATTTGGACTAATTGATAACTGTATTTTAGAGCATTTCTAAGAAAAAATCAGACACAAATCAGAACACAGTGAGCACAGCAAGCCAGATAGAGCCTGGCCAGGGGTACAGGACTATAAAGGGATAAAAAGATGAGAAGCTGAAGTTTAATCTGCTTATATTTTGCTTTCCCTGGTTACTCCGTCTTCCTTTATCAACATGATTATTAGATTATTAAATAAAATCGGTCCTTTTTGATTGCATTCATTATTTCAGACACAGTAATGTCATCACTAGATCGCTGTGCTTCTGTATGCAAGGCAGTCAGATCATGGTGGGTGGGAGGGATCGGCAGGGTGCAGTACATAGCTACACAAAAACATAACAGCACTATGTCTTAGTTCTCCTCTCAAGAGCCCTGTTCCAAGCAGTGGACTGGCTTATGTTAAGAGTTATGCAAATATTAAAATGCTGTAATGGGCATGTGTCAGCCTAGAGGAGTGGGTGTTCCTAGGCAGACTGTATTTGCATGCAGGCCTCCCTAGGTAATGCCCACATGATTGAAAGTACTGAAATCCAATGAATGAAAGTGGTGGACCAGGGACAATCAGGCTGGGGAGAAAAGTGCTAGATGATGATGGATGTCCTCCATCCAGAGAAAAAAAAAAGGCAGGCTCTATCTGACTGTGCTCACAGTGTGCATTGAAATCACTGTAAACAATTTCAGAACATGAGAGGAGCCAGTACAACTGTGCAAAACGGCAGGGAAGGCTGCAGCAAGTTTTAGAATGCATTGCTGTCAAACTGTCACGCGGAAAACAAATGACAGCTGTTACGGATGATCTATTATAAAATTAAGTTTTTTGGCTGCCATACTAAAATGGTTGAATTGCTTTCCTGAAACATGCATAGTACGTATCGAGAGGTTTGATGTTACTGGCTATGTCTATGTTCCAGCTCAGTGAAACAAATGAGTGAAGCCAGAGACAGCCAGGCAACCAGCAGTGTGAGATGAAGTTCAGCAAAGGCAGCCAACATTCCTGACAGGTGTCATTTAGACATGTAAGCTGCAGAAAAAAATCGGTTTGTCACATAACCTCCATCAGTAGTATCACAACACCATTAGACCCCTGGATCTGCCTCTTTCACCTTAGCCCCCTCTCGACCCGTTCGTATTAAAGGACAATGGTTCCCTTCATGCTTAACGCGGCTAATGCCCTTATTCCAAAACATTGGCGTTCCCCCCGGATACCTACCGTGGCGGAATGGTTGACTCGAGTGGATGACCTGAGATTGATGGAAGAACTACATCACTCTTACAAAGATGACTATAGTTCTTACTACACAACTTGGGCGGGATGGTTACATTTTAAGACCACTGAAGCATATATTACCCTTATGTCCATCTGGCTGAGAGCACTACCCACCAAACTAAACTACACTGCATTGCCAAAACTAACAACACCATGTATCTTTCATATTACCCCAATCAAGATGTGTATAATTGTTTACTTTTCTAATAATTGCTATGTCAATATGCTGAAAACTTTGCATAAACAACACCCAGATCGGGGGACGCCCTTGTGCCCAATCCCCCCCTGTACCACCCACCTCCCCAACCCCATGCCCCCATGCTGTTACTGCCATATTTGTTATGTTTGTAATGGCTACTGTCTCCATGTCCTTTGTTATGTAATATATGTCTGAAAAAACTCAATAAACATTTAATATGCAAAAAAATAAAAAACGGTTTGGATATTTCGTTATTTCGGGATTCGGATCCAAAATTCAATTCGGTTCGGGTTTCAGATCTGGACGAAATCCGAATTTCTGTTAGTTTTGGATGAGTTTACAAATATTTGTTGCAAATACCACAGAAAACCATATACAGATATTAATACTAAAGCTGAATCTCCTAGACCCGAATGGCAAATTCGGATCCAAATTTCCAAATTGCATTCGGGAGCTCCCAAATGCCCTTTGGGTCTTGGAGCCTCAGCTTTAGTAATACATGTATATGGCTACCAGACCCGAATGGGATTTGTGAGCTCCTGAATGCAATTTGGAAATTCGGATCCTGAATGCCATTCGGGTCTAGGAGCCTCAGCTTTATTATTATACGTATATACTGTATATGTCTCTTATGCTGCCGTAAAGAAAATTTGTGTTCAGACCCATTCGGATGTATTAAACGAAAAACACATCTGATAGAAAAGTCACATGTCCGATTCAGATTAGTTTTTGAACGAAATTAGGGCAGGATCTGAAATTCGGAAACAGAAATTCGGATGCATTGGGATTGAAAATTTAGACTGTGTCCGAACTTCAGGAAATTCGTCCAAATTTTGGTTCGGAACTAAAACGAATCGCACATGTCTTGTGTCATTAAACTTCCAATATGCATGTGCATTGCGCAGAGTAACTATAATGATTCCAGCCATGTTACACAATAGAAGAGAAAGAGAGGCAGGAGGTCACATGGTTTATAAATTTATTAAAGGAGAACTATGAGGTGAGTGCTTTTCACTCACCTCATAGTTCTAGCCGACCAGTGACAATGAAACTGTCACAGGTCGGCTCAGTAGATCGGGAAGTGAGCGGACACATACCGGCGTTCGCTCACTTCTCGATCCTGTCACGGCTCTCTGCCGTGACAGGGGGAGGGGCTGGATTCCCCCCTCCCCGCTCCGATCCTCCAGCGCTGACTGTCAGAACGAATGGGGGAGGGGCGGGTACATCTGGCTCTGCCTCTATATAGGCAGAGCAGCTGTCACTTACGCAGCTGGGCGGATCCCAACATAATTGTTGGGATCCGCTTCAGCTGCGGCGTCTCAGTATAGCGCGAGCTGTAGCTCACGCTATACTGAGCTTAGGGTGACGGGAGGACGCTAGTTTGTGTCCTCCCGTTACCCTAAGGAGAACTATGGGGAAAAGCCCTAACCCCATAGTTCTCCTTTAAGCCTTTTACAGACTACACATTGGACCCATACTGAATGTGTTCATAGATGTGAGTCTTGCAACGCTCTTTCTATATCTGGATTGTGTGGGTTTATTATGGTGGAGCAATCTATCTACAACAGCCAGCAAGTTCCTGAACTTGTCAACCAGTTATTTATATCTTATCTAGCAGCCACTACTGTATATACTCTGCTGTATTGTATGAGTTACTGGCAGTCCATTTGTACTCAAACTATTTGTGAAAAGTGAAGGACAGTTTTATTGTAAAGCTGGATTTAAGCGTGGCCTTTCTTTCCCCACATCTGTAGCAGTGTTGAAACTGAATACTGTACTCAACTCCTTGTAAACTTGCATCTGCACAATATAGCCCTATGAAGTGGCAGCAGCTATCTTAAGGCCACCTTCATTTCTTGCTGAACAACCTCCATCATTCATCTATCACTTCTCCCCCTGATGCGAACTGTCGTTGGACCCCCTCTCTAAACTATTAGCTTTCCCTGCCATCAATCATTTTGTTCTAGTGATTTGTGTGAAAGAACACATGCTCAGGATCCCTTTAGATGTGCCTGCAACCAGTCAACCAATCAGCAAGCTGCACAGCCAAAGTCTGCAACACCCAGTGCCCAGCAGGGAGAGTCGGGCACATCTAAAGGGATCCTGGGGATGTTTTCTTTCATATAATTCTCTTGAAAATGATCAAACAGAAGGCTGTGACAGT